GCCTTCTTTTAATGAAATCCTTAACTGCCTTCTTAAATTCAGAACTCCGAAAGCTGTACAAAACAGGGTTAATGGCTGAGTTAAGATAACCCAACATAAGAAAGAAGGTATCCAATTCAGGATGCTTTGCGATATTGATAGCACATTTCCGACACAGATTGCTCGTGATGCTCAGAAATGAGTAAGGCAACCAACAGACCACGAACGAGAAAACGATCAGAAACGTTGTCCTGGCTGCACGAATGTTCCGTTGTTGTAATTTCCTGATGAGGATGGCTTCATGTCGCGATCGCATACATTCGACAGGTTGTTGTTCTGAGGTAGGTGAATTGGAGCTCTCTTGGACTGAATTAAGCCTTGCTGCGTTTTCAATGCCTCCTGGTTCCGCTACTGAAACTTTCCCTCTCTTTGCTCTGAATCCAGTCATGTGTTTAGTTTTTCCAGTTCTGCGGCCAGTTTTTGGAGCATGCGTCCGCTTGACTGCAACGCAAAACATTTTGCAGTTCAGAAAGGAAGCGATTAAAACTGGTATCACAAAATTTATCAACGAACTTAACACCGAATAAGTTGAAGAGATGTTGAAAAGACAGTATTCACGATAAACACTTCTTGGACGCGGTTTCCAGCCAAAGACTGGGGCGAGTGAAAAGAGCACGGAGTATGCCCATAAACAGCAAACGACTATAGAGGCGCGCCTGCGAGTCATCAGTGGCGATGCCTTGTAGATGTCCAGAGGTTCTTGTAGGAGTCGGTATCGATAAACTGTCAAAGCCAACAAGCTTAGAATGGACGTGGGTACAGCAATTAAGTACGTTGTCGTCCATACATTGCACATGATCTCACCATGTCTCCAGCGCTTGAATGAAATGATTAGCTCTAAGTCAAATGGCATCACCAGACAAGTTGTTATCAGATCAGAAACTGCCAAGGAGAGTGTGAAGAACGTGTTGATGGATTGCCGCAGGGATCTGGTGATTAGTGTGACCACACAAACTGTGATATTTCCCATTAGCGAGGCGATGATAATGATGACGTAAAATATGGAACATGTGACCATAATTGGTGAGACATCAAGATTTTCAATGGCTGGCGAAGCAGTCGAGTTTATCGCATTTTCTGACTCATTCATGGCGAATAAGAACCCTTTTTTCCTCGCTAGGCCTGAAAAAATGGAAAACGTAAGAGACATTGCTGGCTGTGACAATTACAAATATACTGAATGGCTGAAACCAAAGTCAAAGGTTGCATGAATAAAACGAGATTTTCGCTGACAGTTTTAATCTTTTTAACAAGTTCGGTAAGTGACCAGGCCATCATTTAAAAATAAATTTAAAATGTATTCGTGAACTTATACTGTCAACTGGTAATCAAGAATGATCTCAGATAAAAGCTTAAAATAGACTATTGAGGTGATGCAAATTGTAAATGGAAGGCGAGGCGGTCGAGTTAATCACATTTTCTGACTCATTCATGGCAAACACTGCAGAACCTTTTTTCTTTGCTAAGCGTGCAAAAATGAAAATAGAAGGGTGTATAACTATATGTATCTCACTAGCATCCGATTGGCTTAAACCAAAATTCGATGGCTCGAAAAATTAATCAATGTTGCTTGAAACAGATTGCGCAAGCACTGATGGTGTCTTAATCATATTTGGTAAGTGACCAAACCGTCCTTTGCAAATCAGTTTGAAATGCATTTGCAAACTGATAATGTCTTCGAGTAATTAAGAAAGAGCTCAGATGATTATTATTACTGACTGTCACTGGGATGAAACAACTGATTCGATGGGCCATAGTTTTTTTTTTATTATTTTAATTGACTCTGCTCAATAAGTGTAGTGCTTTTGACTGCGCTGACTTGTTTGCAGAATAATATTGAAAAAGAAAAATACCTGTGAAATGTGAAAACGACCCTGCCCGTAGAGTAACTGCTCTATCTCGTGTTAATTTGTGTTTCAGATTGCAGCAATTGTTGCACTGCAAATGAAGGTGATTTGTAATTTCCGCCCTTTAAACATTACAGCAAAACACTCTCAGATTATTTTCCATTTGAAAGAGGATTTACATATCAAATACCAAGAAGCCTAAAAGCTTATTTTTCATTTCTTTAGTTTTTCTCACAAGAACTCTTCGGAATTTATTCATTACTTTCCTTTATATCAACATTCTCTGAGAACTAAAAGAAAAGGTTATTTGAATGAAGATGTTTTTTGGTAATAATCATACAGTGCTAAATTATATTGTTCTCATTTTCAATTCATGGTCATTTTATCAAATATATTTCAGAGTATAAGGAATGGCGAATATTCTGTTCAAAAAATAACTGTCTGGCAGATCCGTGTTTGACCAGTTCCTTTCGTCAATCTCGGTTATTTTGTATATAACTGTTTTGAGGTCTAGAATGTTTTAGTGACTTAGTCTTGAGATCAGCTGTACTCTTCAAGAAGCCAGACATACATGCGACCGACACACTGAGCGGAAACAAACTGTTCGTTTTTGCTGAATGAGCAAGCAAGAAAACAGCAGGCCTTGATACCTTCGCTCTGACGAAGGGCTAACGCTCGAGACATCAGTGTCAGAATCTCTATAGAGGTCAATTCACATTATCAACTCATAAAACCAAGTAGTCTGTGGCTCGTTTGCTGGAATAAAACTATTCTAGAAATCTCGAAAAGGCTAACTCTACTCTTCGCTCTCCGTCTTTACAAGTCAACTATCCTGAAAGCTGAAACGGTCACTGGATGATTAGGTCGCTTATGTTTTAAAGCTAAACTTGAAAAAGAAGAAATTTATATTTTATCGGTGAAAGTCAACTTCGAATTTGAAAGGTTATTATTGTCATCAGAACGCTGGCTTGCACTTTTGTAACATAATCACCATTTGTTGTTCCCTCTATTGCTAATTATAGTAACTCAAGTGTGTAACCCTCGAATTTCTAGAAATGCATTGGAAGACAAAGTTTTTGGATCATACCTGTCTTTGAGGAAGTTCTTAGGATCTCAAGAGAGAGTCTTGATCCAGGCTGTTTGACTTTCTCATGGCAAGTTTCAGATGACTCTAAATTTGATAGAGATGTTTACACGCCATCGCCCAGAGTAAATTTTCCATAACAATCGATTGATCGCGTTATTCAAAATTCGGGCTGCCACTTATTGCAACTGATGTCCATTTTTTGACAGCAAACATTGATAATGACGTTAAAAATATAAAAGAAACCGGTTGCATAAATGAAAATTTAGTTTTACTAACCTCAACTTAAGTTAAAGTTATTCTGCCAAAGCATGCAAGTACTGCCTTACATTCATGTCCACCGAAAGATGTACTTCGAAACTATTGGTTTGGTAACGTAAATCAGACAGGAAAAGGAATCACACAGTAATGGCCTAATTACTGACTAAAATAAGAGCTGAAATAAAGAACCGATTTCTAATTTACGCATTTGGTGGTAATATTTCTTTGTCACCGGGAGAATTTGTTTTTCACTGGACAAAATTACGCAGCTGCTGAAGTCGGTATAACAAAGTCAGACAAAGCCTCCGCTATGTCTGATGGGGGAGGACAGATGACTGACTTGCACGCGATCACATCGGGAAAATGATTGATGGAGACTTCCGTTTAAACTTCCACGATAAGTTGAAGTCCAATCTTCTCAAACGCGGAAATAAAACAAAAAAGGAGAGAAGTTTATGGACCAATTCGTAAAAATTCAATTCCTAAAACCAAGAGGAAATGAAGTCTCATTATCTTCTCTTGATAAATCATAAATTAACCTCGCCTTATGAACAATCGGTTAATACGACCACCTTCTTGTCACAACGTCCAGCGTTTTTTTGTGCTCGAACGAATCGAGAGTCCTGACAATTTTTACTTTAAAGCTTACGGCCAATTAATCTAACCATTTAACGGCCAAATTTACAAGGGAAATGTTTTTCATGGAACTGAGTTTCAGCTGAGGATGTCTAAGCTGAAGAGTTGAGTTGCAACAACGCGCGCTTAGTTGTACTTGAGATATAAACCCACAATAGAGAACAGGAAAAAAAAAGAAACACCTCTTTCAATAATTTTCATCTTGATTTAGGACAATCTAGGTTTTATACTCTTTCAAATGAATTATCTTGCGCTCAATAATTTGTTTTTCGAATATTTTCACTCATTTGTAAAATAAACTTCCCAGGTCCGCTCAGTCAAACGACGTAATTATTCGCTGTTTTACGTTTAGTTTAACGATCACTTTCAAGTCGCCATGGATGTCTAGCAAGCCAACTGGGCTTAATTTTAATTTGCTTTCTCGAAATTCTCCTGCTACGTTTCCCTTTAGCGTTGAAAAACAAACAAAAAAAGTTACAACTCTCTCGTCTCCTTGGCCCCCTTTAATACTCCTTTTTCCTTCAAATGGGCTGTATTGAGTTAAACCGATATTCTGGGCTTTTCATTTTTTTAGTACGAGTCAATTTATACCAAACGCTATTTTCAGTTTTTTCTCGGAAGAAATGAACTGAAGAGGAGTTGTAAGACTTCTGACGATGATGACTACTTTCAAACAATACCTTAGTTACCGATATCACAGGTGCAAACAAACTTTGCTGATTACGGAAACGGTCTTAAACCGTCTATTTTGAACGCGAAAGCAAATTCAAGAAAAAAAATTCAAAATTAACAAGTTCGAGTGCAATATAATAATGAACTACTTGCCCACCTTGCTCGAACTGTGTTGGGAAATATTGTCTCTCATGCAGTCATTGAAGAAGTTCTTTCTACACATAAATGGTGGCTCCTTCCTGAGTTAGATAGCTCAATGCAGGACTGGATTTGAATTTAAAACGAACAAAAATTGAGGACATGACGGGATGGCGAGTAGCGAAATAGACTTATTTAATGATATGGAACGAAGCTTGACAGCTGGTCTCAGAATCATCACGCACGAGAAAGGACGTTGTTTTAAAATAGAGAAAGCGTGACGTTAAATGCAAATAGTACTGCTTACGGCGACTATTGAACGTTTAGCGGTCTTCTTTCAGCTGTTTACACCTGAGAATGAAAACGTTCATTTAAACGTTTTAAGGCAATGACAAAATAAAGAATGGACATTAAAGCCAAAGTGACATACAAGAGTACAACGCACCATGCTATATTGTAGTCTAGGAAGGACTTGAAGTCATCAAATGCGCCATTCCATTGTGGCATGCAGTACTGCTTCGTTGGATACTCGACAAGGGTATAGACGAGCAAGTTTGGGCACCAGACAGCCAAGGCAATGATCCAAGTGGCGAGGATATAGAACCTGCAGTGTTTTGAACTGATCAGTGGGGAACGGATGGGAAATACCTCAGCTACGAATCGATCCACTGCTATCAAAACCAGGCTCTGAATTGAAATAGTAGATGAGACGTCCATTGCGAAGTGAATCAGTTTACACAACACTTGGTCAAGAGGACCGCCGATTAACCAAGGCTGAATATTGATGTGTAACCGTTCTAAATCCCGAGGAAACAGGAAAATCGGATACAGCAGATCGGACATGGCCATGTTTACAATGAAAAAGTTGGTGGGCTTTCTGAGGATTTTCGTCTTGTATACAATTAATCCAATGAGGGCATTTCCTACCAGTGAGACAACAAATTGCGACAATAAGCGAAGGTTTCACTAATTCTTTGTGATGTGAAGTTGAAGCAGCTCAAAATGGACAACGTTATATTCATCGCTCCGGTCACGTTTGCCGACATTCTAAGAACTGAATATCAATTTCTTTTGAAGTTAACAACTCTCTGGAGGCTGCCTATAAACTTTGTTTAGGGAAAACAAAGCCAATCATTTGCATACGTTCCTAGAAAAGGACTTCCTGAAATTCGAGAATTCAGTTAAATTATTGCTATCAGCTTGTATTACGAATAAAGTTATCGGTATGCTATTTCAGATTAGAATGCGCTCGGTAAAAAATAAAACTTTCAGAAGTTCCAACTTGTTAAAAGAATTGGAGACTGTCAACTTTATGAGTACCTTTGCTGTGTTTGTAGCGATATTATACGTTCTTTTCTCCTTTAAAGATCAAGTCCTTTGCCACGTGTCGCGGTTTTTTGCGAAATCAGCTAGTCATGCTAGTGTTGAGATGTAAATTAAATGATAACTTTTGGGAGAGTCCACACGGAAGTTCATCACACAACAGGGTCCGTTATAAAGGATCTTTGGCAACGTTTACCGAGATATTCGTTGAGTAAATCAGTAAACATTGGAAGGTGAGATTCATATTCAAGCACTGCAACATAACATCTCTTGATAATGTCTGTTTTTGTTTGGTCGCTGCAAATAAAAACCTCAACGGTTGGTTCGGCTCTTTTGACATATTTCAATAGAATAATCTGCTATTAAGCAGATTATTCTGCTATTGTTCCTTTTTTGTTCATTTATGTTGTCTGTGTTGTCTAGGTATGTGACGAGAGAATTACAACTATGCTTCACAAATCGCCCCAGCATTAATTAATGTCAAATTAATTTCAAAATCGTTAACGGAAGGTGTAGTCTATAGAGTTGCTGCACGCCTTTCCATAGCACGAGTATTCTCTGCCCGGAATCGCACGGCACCTTGAGAGGGGCGCCCTCTTCTAAAGAAATCTTTCACTGCTTTCTTAAATTCAGAACTCCGAAAGCTGTACAAAACGGGGTTAATGACTGAATTAAGATGACCAAACATAAGAAAGACGGTAAGCAATTCAGGATGCTTTGCGATATCGATAGCGCACTTCCAACAGAGAAGGTACGTGATGCTCAGAAATGAGTGAGGCAGCCAACAGACCACGAACGAGGAAACGATCAGAAACGTTGTCTTGACTGCGCGAATGTTCCGTTGTTGTAATTTCCTGATGAGGATGGCATCATGTTGTGATCGCACAGATTCGACGGGTTGTTGTTTTGAGGTAGGTGAATTGGAGCTCTCTTGGACTGTACTAAGCCTTGCTGGGTCTTCAATGCCTCCTGGTTCCGCTACTGAAACTTTCCCTCTCTCTGCTTTGAATCTAGTGGTGTGTTTTTCCATTTTGGCGGTTAGCTTTTGGAGGATGTGCTCGCTTGATTGCAACGCAGAACATTTTGCAGTTCAGAAAGGAAGCGATTACAACTAGTATCACAAAATTTATCAACGAACTTAACAACGAATAAGTTAAAGAGAGGTTGAAATAACAGTATTCACGATAAACACTTCTTGGACGCCGTTTCCAGCCAAAGACTGGGGCGAGTTAAAAGAGCATGGAGTATGCCCATGAACAGCAAATGATTAAGGAGGTGCGCCTGCGAGTAATCAGTGGTGATGCCTTGTAGATGTCGAGAGGCTCTTGTAGGAGTCGGTATCGATACACTGTCAAAGCCAACAAGCTAAGAATGGACGTGGGTACAGCAATCAAATATTTTGTCGTCCATACATTGCACATGATCTCACCATGTCTCCAGCGCTCGAATCAAATGATCAGCTCCACGTCAAACGGCATCACCAGACAAGTTATTACCAGATCAGAAACTGCCAGGGAGAGGATGAAGCACGAGTTGACGGATTGCCGCAGGGATCTGGTGCTTAGTACGACCACACAAACTATGATATTTCCCAGCAGCGAAACGATGATGATGATGACGTAAATTATGGAAAATGTCATCATAGTTGGTGAGACATCAAGATTGTGAATGGCTGGCGAGACAGCCGAGTTTATCGCATTTTCTGACTCATTCATGGCGAAAAGAACCTTTCTTCCTTGCTAGGCCTGCAAAAATGTAAAACGTAGGAGACATTGCTGGCTGTGACAATTACAAATATACATACATGTACTAACATCTGATTGGCTGAAACCAAAATCGAAGATTGCATGAATAAAACGAGACTAATTTTTTCTTACAATGTGATATTTCCGCTGACAGTTTTAATCTTTTGAACAAATTTGGTAAGTGACCAAGCCATCATTTTTAAATAAGTTTGAAATGCAGTTGTCAACTGATACTGTCAACTGGTAATCAAGAATTATTTCAGATGAAAGCTTAAATTAGACTATTGAGGTGATACAAATTGTAAATGGCCGGTGAGCGGTCAATTAAGTTTATCGCATTTTCTGACTCATTCATGGCCAACAAGAACCTTTTTTCTTTGTTAAGCCTGCAAAAATTAAAGAAGGAGGAGGTATTGCTCTATGTATCTCACTAGCATCCGATTGGCTTAAACCAAAATTAATTGGCTCGAAAAATTAATTAATGTTGGTAATTGCGCGAGCACTGATGGTGTCTTAATCAAATTTGCTAAATAACCAAACCGTCCATCGCAAATCAGTTTGAAATGCATTTGCAAACCGATAATGTCTCCGAGTAATTTGGAAAGAGCTCAGATGAAAACTTATAACTGATTGTCACTCTGCTCAATATGCAGGGTACTTTTGACTACGTTGACTTGTTTTCAGAATAATATTTAAAAAAGAAAAAAAACCTGAGCGAAAAACGACCCCGCCTTTACAGTAACTACTTTATCTCCTGCTAATTTGTGTTTCAGATAACAGCTGTTGTTGAGCTCCAAATGGAGGTGATTTGTAATTTCCGCCCTTTACAGATTACAGCAAAACATTCTGAGCTTATTTTTCATAAGTCCATCAGCAAGTGAAAAAGGATTTACATGTCAAATACCAAGAAGCCTAAAAGCTTATTTCTCATTTCTTTAGTTTTCCTCAAAAGAACTCTTCAGAATTTATTCATTAATTTCCTTTATGTTAACATTCTCTGAGAACTAAATGAAAGATGTTCTTTGATAATAATCATACAGTGCTCAATTACATTGTTTTCATTATTAATTCTTGATCATTTTATCAAATATCTTTCGAGGTATTAGGAATGGCGAATATTCTGTTAAAAAATAACTGTCTGGCAGATCCGTGTTTGACCAGTTCCTTCCGTCAGTCTCGGTTATTTCTTATATAACTGTTTTGAGGTCTAGAATGTTTTAGTGACTCAGTCTTGAGATCAGCTGTAATCTTCAAGAAGCCAGACATACGACCGACACATTGAGCGGAAACGAACTGTTCGTTTTTGCTGAATGAGCAAGCAAGAAAGCAGCAGGCCTTGAGACCTTCGCTCTGACGAATGGCTAACGCTCGAGACATCAGTGATAGAATCTCTATGGAGGTCAATTCATATTATCAACTCATAAAACCAACGGTTAAGAATATATGAAAGTCACATATTTGAACTGCGGATAAAGAAGTGAGTGAAAGTGATCCTCGCAGTAATGTGCACTACTTAGGCAGTAGTGAAAATAAGGCCTGAAAAAAATTCAGGCCTGTACGGGATTTGAACCCATGACCTCTGCGATACGGTGCAGCGCTCATAAAACCAAGTAGTCTGTAGCTCGTTTGCTGGAATAAAACTATTCTAGACATCTCGAGAAGGCTAACTCTACTCTCCGCTCTCCGTCCATACATGTCAACTATCCTGAAAGCTGAAACGGTCTCTGGATGATTAGGTCGTCATATGTTTTAAAGCTAAACTTGAAAAAGAAGAAATTTATATTTTCTCGGTGAAAGTCAACTTCGAAATTGAAAGGTATCATTGTCATCAGATCACTGCCTTGCACCTCAGAAACAATATCGCCGTTTGTTGTTCCCTTTATTGCTAACTATTGTAACTCAAGTGTGTCACCCTCGAATTTCTGGAAATGCATTGGAAGACAAAGTTTTTGGATCATACCTGTCTTTGAGGAAGTTCTTGCTTGATTACTGCTTGACTTTCTCATGGCATGTCTCTAACACGGGGGCAAGTTTCAGATGGCTTTAAATTTATTAAAGATGTTTACACGCCATCACCCGGAGTAAGCTTTCCATAATGTCATTCGCAATTTGGGCTACCGCTTAGTGCAACTAATGTCCATTTTTTGTCAGCAAACGTTGATAATGATGTTAAATTATTATTAAGAAAATAAACCTGCTGAACAAATGGAAATTCATTTTTACCAACACTTGAAAAGGCAAAAAACGGACAGCTCTGAAAGCTTATTTTTTTTTTAAAGTTTCAATGAAAGCGCGGGTTTCATTTCTTCCAATCAGTCGAACTCGTAACTATCCCTAGTTGGAACAATTTTGCACTCCGCAATATTCCAGTTTGACATTTTTCCTTCGCCCCTGGTGTTACTGTCTATTTTCTTTACGCGAGGAAAGAAAAAACCACGGTGAAACATCTCTCGCTTTGAAACTGCTAAAACCCTTGCAAGCAACGAAAATATCAATTTTTGATCTACATGCATGTTTTGATCAAATGGCTAAGATCTGTACAATGTTTGGCGTTCTTTGCCTGAGTGTGCCCACCAACAGCGCTGCAAATAATTCAGTTTTTGGCCCAGTGAGCGTTCTCAGATACGAACAAAACAAGGTACCAGACTTATAGCTAACCTGCTTTAATTTAAAGTAAACTCTAGATATTTAAAACTTAGAAGTATGCTAAACATACACCATTAATAAATAGATCTGATAGTGTAAAATAAAATTTTGTCTAACAAGTTCTGAAAGGTAAGTTTATAATTTAGTCATTTGAATTAAGTATCATGGAACAAAAAGGAAGTCAAGTAAAACGAATGTGGTTCAAAAGTCTGTGAGGCTTTGGCTTATAATCATGATTCTGATAACTTTTTGATCAAGTTTATAGTCCTCAATAAAAAAACGGATCAATATCAGTATCTGGGCAACTGCCCACCTACCCCTAACCCAACATTAACTGTTGTTGAGTTAGGGGAGGGGTGGGTGGGCAGTTGCCCAGATAATGATATTGATAAAAAAAAACAATGTAATGGCTATCTAAGACTGTTATGTGGCGATACCAATTTCTAATGTAAACCCCGTTGCCTATTCCTTGTAGATGTGATATTTTTAGCTTCTAAAGAATCTGTTCTTGAGACTCATCGGATTAAATGAGAATTTGAAAATAGTAGATGCGTATTGTTAAATGGCGATCATAAACACCCAGGGGTCAAACCGTAAAAGAGAGGGTGCAATTTGAACTTTATTTGAATTATTGAGTACAGGGTGGTAAACCAGACATAAGTGGAGATGAAAGAGGAAACTAACAAATAAAAATTGGGAAAGAAAAAAAAGTCAGTGGTATGCTGATAATTTCTCCCTTTTCAGCTGGTCTGAGACAAAAAGATACACGCTGAGAGTTTTATATTTGATGTTTATTTTATCCTTTTTTTATTATAATTACAGAAATATTTCTCCGAAACTGATGATAGTGTTCGTTACCGATATTTTCATGTACGTGTGTAACTTGCGCTCAAATACTCTAATTTGTCTCATTCGTCTAACTCACACTTTCCCAGAAGTATGTGACGAGTGAGTTACAAATTTACTTCAGAAATCTCCTTAGTACTATTAAATTGATTGTAAAATGTCAAATTAACTCCGAAATCGTCAGTGGAAGGTATATTTTGTAGTGGTACTGCACGCCTTTTCATAGATATAGCGCGCGCGACCTTGGCCCGGATTTGTGCACCTCGAAAGAGGCGCTTCTTTCTATTGAAATCTTTAAACGCCTTCTTAAATTCAGAACTCCGAAAGCTGTACAAAACGGGGTTAATAGCTGAATTAAGATAACCCATCATGAGAAAGATCCAGGGAAGATAGTATGGGATCTTTAAAGCACACGTCCTGCACAAAATGATAATGATGCTAAGAAATGAGTGAGGCAGCCAACAGACCACGAACGAGAAAACGATTAGAAACGTTGTCTTGGCTGCGCGAATGTTCCTTCGTTGTAGTTTTCTGATGAGGATGGCTTCATGTTGTAATCGCATGGATTCAACGAGCTGTTGTTCTTTTTGGGGTGAAATGGCGCTGTCTTGGACTGGATTAGTAGGTCTTGTTGGGTTTTGATGAGTCTTGCCATTTCTGCGGCCAGCTTTCTGAGTATGCGACCGCTTGATTGCGAGGCAGAACATTCTGCAGTTAAGAAGGGAAGCTATTATAACTGGTGTCACAAAATTTATCATCGAACTCAAGACTGAATAAGTCAAAGAGACATTGAAATAACAGTACTCAAAGTAAACACTTCTCGGACGCCATTTCCAGCCAAAGACTGGGGCGAATGAAAAGAGTATGGAGTATGCCCATAAACAGCAAACGACTATAGAGGCGCGCCTGCGAGTCATCAGTGGCGATGCCTTGTAGATGTCCAGAGGTTCTTGTAGGAGTCGGTATCGATAAACTGTCAAAGCCAACAAGCTGAGAATGGACGTGGGTACAGCAATTAAGTATGTTGTCGTCCATACATTGCACATGATCTCACCATGTCTCCAGCGCCCGAATGAAATGATCTGCTCCAAGTCAAACGGCATCACCAGACAAGTTGTTATCAGATCAGAAACTGCCAGGGAGAGGATGAAGCACGAGTTGATGGATTGCCGCAGGGATCTGGTGGTCAGTATGACCACACAAACTGTGATATTTCCCAACAGCGAAGCGATGATAATGATGACGTAAATTATGGAAAATGTCATCATAGTTGGTGAGACATCAAGATTGTGAATGCCTGGCGAGGCAGTCGAGTTAATCGCATTTTCTGACTCATCCATGGCAAACAAGAACCTCTCTTCCTTGCTAGGCCTGCAAAAATAGAAAACGTAGGAGACATTGCTGGCTGTGACAATTACAATTATATAATAAGCTCAGTTATGCACGCATTCTGATTGGTTCTTAGTTATAATATATTGGAGGACAGACGCATAGATGACGTCGTCATTAAAACTTTTTAATTTCTTTATTATATAAAACAAATAGATTCCAAGTTGCCGTGCGTCTGTTCAGTAATAGATCACAGAGGACGTCAAAATGTGGTAAGAACATCAGTGGCACACGAGGCGCAGCCAAAGTCAAAGGTTGTATGCGAAAAACGGCCTCGCCCGTAGAGTAACTACTCTATCTCCTGTTAATTTGTGTTTCAGATTGCAGCAGTTGTTGCACTCCAAATGAAGGTGATTTTTAATGTCCGCCCTTTAAACATTACAGCAAAACACTCTCTGTTTATTTTCCATTTGAAAGAGGATTTACATATCAAATACCAAGAAGCCTAAAAGCTCACTTAGGCAGTGTTCACACTTGGTGCCCGGGCACCGTGCCCGGGTCCTATTCTACGCCGGGCACCAATGTGAACACATCTTTTTTTCCTGGTACCCACGCCAGAATTCGGGCACGGTGCCGGTGCCCGAGTACAAGGTCTCGACCTTGTACTCGGGCACTAAACTGGGCACTGAGTCCTTGTGTGAACACATTTTTCGTTGGTGCCCTGGCACTTTACCCACAAACCACTTGTTTTCGTACCCACAATTCCTTGTCCCACTCGAGATTTCAAAATGGCCGTTTATTGAATGTGAACATATCTTCAGACTGGGTACCGTGTGTCTGAACACAGCACCATTTTGTGCCGGTGCCCGGGTACTAATGCCCGGGCACCGTGCCCGGGTTCTATTCTACGCCGGGCACCAATGTGAACACACCTTTTTTCCTGGTACCCACGCCAGAATTCGGGCACGGTGCCGGCGCCCGAGTACAAGGTCTCGACCTTGTACTCGGGCACTAAACTGGGCACTGAGTCCTTGTGTGAACACATTTTTCGTTGGTGCCCTGGCACTTTACCCACAAACCACTTGTTTTCGTACCCACAATTCCTTGTCTGTTTATTGAATGTGAACATATCTTCAGACTGGGTTCCGTGTGTCTGAACACAGCACCATTTTGTGCCGGTGCCCGGGTACTAGTGCCCGGGCACCAAGTGTGAACACTGCCTTAGTTTTCCTCAAAAGAACTCTTCAGAATTTATTCATTACTTTCCTTTATATTAACATTCTCTGAGAACTAAAAGAAAAGGTTATCAGAATGAAGATGTTTTTTGGTAATAATCATACAGTGCTCAATTACATTGTTCTCATTTTCAATTCATGGTCATTTTATCAAATATATTTCAGAGTATTAGGAATGGCGAATATTCTGTTCAAAAAATAACTGTCTGGCAGATCCGTGTTTGACCAGTTCCTCCCGTCAATCTCGGTTACTTCGTATATAACTGTTTTGAGGTCTAGAATGTTTTAGTGACTTAGTCTTGAGATCAGCTGAGATCTTCAAGAAGCCAGACAAACATGCGACCAACACACTGAGCAGAAATGAACTGTTCGTTTTTGCTGAATGAGCAAGCACGAAAACAGAAGAAGAAATTCATAATTTCTTGGTGAAAGTCAACTTCGAAATTGAAAGGTTATCATTGTCATCAGAACACTGCTTTGCACCTTTGTAACATAATCACCATTTGTTGTTCCCTTTATTTCTAACTATAGTAACTCAAGTGTGTCACCCTCGAATTTCTGGAAATGCATTGGAAGACAAAGTTTTTGAATCATACCTGTCTTTGAGTGAGGAAGATCTTAGGATCTCAAGAGAGAGTCTTGATCCTGGCTGTTTGACTTTCTCATGGCAAGTTTCAGGTGACTATAAATTTGATGAAGATGTTTACACGCCATCGCCTCGAATAAAGTTTCCATAACGATCGATTGGTAATATTATTCACAATTCGGGCTACCACTAATTGCAACTGATGTCAATTTTTTGACAGCAAACATTGATAACGACGTTTAAAATTGAAAAGAAACTGGCTGAATAAATGAAAATATAGTTTTATCAACCTCAACTTAAGTTAAAGTCATTCTGCCGATAAATCATAAAAGAACTTCGCCTTATGAACATTCGGTTAATACGACCACCTTCTCGTCGCAACGTCCAACGTATTTGTGCTCGAACGAATCGAGAGTCCTGACAGTTTTTACTTTACAGCTTACGGCCAATTAATCCAACCATTTAATGGCCAAATTTACAAGGGATCTTAGTTTTCGTGGAACTGAGTTTCAGCTGAGGCTGACTACGAACAATTACGTTCAGGATGAAAAAATGTCTTGAGTTGAGTTACAACAACGCGCGCTTAATTGTACCTGAGATGTGAACCCACAATAGAGAACAAGAAAAAAAAAGAGAAAAACTCTTTCAATAATTGTCATCTTGATTTAGGATAATCTAGGTTTTATACTCTTTCAAATGAATTATTTTGTGCTTAATAATTTGTTTTTAGAATATTATCACTCATTTGTCAAATAAACTTCTCAGGTCCGCTCGGTCAAACGACATAATTATTGGCTGTTTTGCGTTTAGTTTACTATAATGATCACTTTTAAGTCGCCATGGATATCTAGCAAGCCACCTGGGTTTATTTTTAATGTAGTTTCTCGAAATTCTGCTGCTACTTTTCCTCTTAGCGTTGAGAAACAAACCGAAAAAGTTATAACTATCTCGTCTTCTTGGCCCCCTTTAATACTGCTTTTTACTTCAAATGGGCTGTATCGAGTTAAACGATATTCTGGGCTTTTCATTTTTTTTTAATACGAGTCAATTTATACTAAAACTTATTCAGTTTTTTCTCTGAAGAAATGAACGGAAGAGGAGTTTTGTAAGGCTTCTAACAATAATTATTACTTTCAAAAAATACATTAGTCACCGATATCACAGGTGCAAACAACATCAAACGGTCATAAACCGTGTATTTTGGTCGCGAAAGCCAATTTCAAAATAAAAATTCAAAATTAACAAGTTCGGTCCGAGTGCCATATAATGACCTATTCGCCCACCTTGCTTGAGTCGCACTGGAGAATATTGGCTCTCATGCTGTCACTGAAGAAGCTCCCTCTACAAATGAATGCGGGTGACTCGTTCTTAAGTTAGATAGCTCAATGCAAGGCTGGATTTGAATTTAAAACAAAACAAGAATTGAGGACGTGACGAGGTGGCGAGTACGCAAATAGACTTATGTAATGATATTTAACGAAGTTTGACAGCATGTCTCAGAATCATCGCGTACGACAAAGGATGTTGTTTGAAAATGGAGAAAGCGTCATGCCTGTAAACGGAAAATAGTACTGCCTACGGCGATCATTGAGTGTTTAGCGGTCCTCTGTCAGCTGTTTACGTCTGGAAACGAAAACGTTCACACTAAATGCGAAAAAAACCGATGTTTGCCAACTGATTTAAAAATATTTTGAAGTTAGGAAATTTGAGTCACCTGTTACCAACTAGTCATAACCATTACAGTTTCCGAAAAAAGAAACCACATACACTAATTTGAAAATGGGCCTTCGATATTAATTATCCAAAACATATTCATCTTGGAAATTCGCCAGTTTTATAGGGTAAGTTGTTGTTGCTATAATCAATACTGTGATTGGTGGATTTAGCTGAGTGAACGTAATCAACTGTCCGATTACAACTCCACAGAGTAATTAGTGAAAAATAATACAGCTAATGCACCAATTCACCCTTTGGGCTTTAGATTTCACGTGTAGTGTCAAGTGACTTTTAGTGTAAACAAACCCCGAAAGTTCGGACATTGCGTCGAGTTCGTAGCACATGAATTTGACAAATTTTCTTACATAACTTCCCACTTTCAAGAAGCGTTTCTTCGCTCAAAATTGACATCTTTCTTTTATCATTTATTTGATCATTTATCAAGCAAGTAGTTATTTTGAAGAATGTCACAGGAAGAATTGCGGCATGGAATAATCGAACTAGTTCTGCGTACAGTGATGTATCTGATCACGTATTTTCTGGGAGTTACCTGCGTAGATTGTCAAATAGACCCACGTCTGACAGGAAATTAGTGCCCACGAATTGCTGTAGAACGTAAGTAAGCGTTGATTCCCAAAAATAAAACGATTTCAACTCTATGAACGTGTACGATTTCAGTTGTTATGTAAGTGAATACTTAAACATAATGGTTACATAATGCTTAACACCCTGAAAATACCTGATCAGATTCATCGCCGTACGCAGAACTAGTTCGATTATTCCATGCCGCAATTCTTCCTGACACATTCTTCGACATGATCTACTTCAACGGCAGCGAAGTAACAACTTGTTTGATACATAATCAAATCAATGATACAAGAAAGATGTCAATTTTGAGCGAAGAAACGCTTCTTGAAAGTAGGAGGTTATTTAAAAAAAATTGCCAAAGCCGAAGTTTGGAGTCGTGTGCTGCGAGCTCAACTCAATATCCGTACTTTCGGGGTTTGTTTACATCAAAAGTCACGTGACACTACACGTGAAATCTAAAGCCCAAAAGGTGAATTATATTTGAGGAAATTGTAATGATTATGTCAATGCCAATTTTATTCCATTCATTTGTTCACTTTTTCCGTTTTCCTTTGCTGTAACATGATGACCGGTATGAACTCACTTACGTTCTGCACTCCGGTGAAGCCTTCTATTTAGGGTGTAAACATTGTCGAGCGACAAATCTAGATCCCTGTGGTTACAGCAAGTAATGGTAATACGAGTACCGTAAGAGAAAAAAAGGCAGTCCATGACTTACAATAGTTGTGTAGAATATCAGTAAAAATGCAATGTAGTGTGAAATGTTTAGAGAGGTTGATAAATAGCTTATGTCAATGCCAAACTTGTGAGAAAAGAAAGACTTGGTCAGACGAGAGTTTGTGCACTGGGCAATAGCAAGCCTTTTATTTGGAGTGAGGCTGAAGGTGTCATTACTGTTATAGAGACCAGTACCTAGTTAGTATAAGAACAAAGCAATTTAAATTTGAAAAGCAGCAAGGTTTGTATCATAACAAGGTCACCCTTAGCCCCACTCCTGTTAAAAGGCTTGGCAACCAAATACACAACTTTTAATGGACTATTGACAAGTTGGGGACAGGGCAGGAAATTAATAGAATATGTACATGTATTTAATGTGTATCAACTGAATTTTCACATTATTCCTCTCGAGTCTGAAGGTAGTAGGTTCGAGCCCTGGCTGCGTCGATTTTTTTATTTGTCTTTTCTTTCCTTTCCTTTTTCTTTTTTTTTTCTTTTCAATAAACATTCTTTTTTTTTTTTAGAGGGCACGGTAACAAATCCTGCAATCTGATTGGTTCTTTACCCGGTCAGTATTTTCCTATCTCTGCCCACGGGCCACGGTAACGCTTTCGTGAGTCGCCGAGTACATCCCAACTTTCGTTACCATTTTTCATAAATATGTCTCGTTTTTCCGGCTGAGTGGTATTTTTAAGCAAACACATCGGCCACTACCTCAAGCCGATAAATAAGTTATTCAGTAATCCTCTCTTCTCTCTCTCAAATCACTTTGGTTGACAATAAAATATTGGTTTCAGAATGAATTTGTATGAACAATGGTGTCATTACGTTGGTTGACAAGCGGCCTAAAAACCGTCTGCAATTAATTTTAATCGTTCACAAAAAATAACTAGAAAGTTAAAACGTGAGGTACTTGGTTACAGTTAACTGAACGATGGAACTTTCATTTATTTAATATCTGAATCTTCTCAAACAATTTTTCGTAGTGAAAGAGCGAGAGAAGTTTTAATTTCAGTTCTACAACAAATATACGCTCCCGGTGAGTCTTTCCAAGTCCATTCAATTTGGACATTTGTACCGTAAATTGCACAACAGAAACTGAAGGAATTTATTGAGAAAAGGCTGCCTTAAATCCCCTTGTGTCTCGTTGGAGTGTGCCATTCGAATTTAGTTTTTGTGGACGAAAGACCAGATTTACACACGCCATTGCAGCAAACAAACGAGTAAACTCTCACAACTTCAAATTAAAAAATTTGAATTTACTCACAATTATTTTCCTTGCCGTTTCCTTAATGAACAGAGGTAAATCTTCGAACATGAACGAGTCGTCGATCAGAGTGAATAATACTTTCCGTTAGATCATTGACTGTTTTTGAAGAAAACATTGTCGTGACAGTCCTTGCCAAACTAGTTCCGTTGTTTTTCAAATCTTCTTGCGCTTTTTTTTTCTTACGCGCTCTGTAATTGACAGGTGTTAGATTGTGACAGATTCTTGTAAAAATAATGTTTCAAAGTTTGTTAAGAAGCCTTTTAAATCACCTTTATCGTTTCCGAAATGAAAATGCTTCGGTGAGGCATCTCTCTTTAATTTGCATCACATCTATTTTAACCCGTTACTCGGTCAAAAATTGTTCAGTTTATGGAAGATCTTGCCGTATTTACAGCCCTAAATCATTCGGGTTCTTTCGGAAAGAATCTCGTCAAGTTTAAAAAAAATAAATATGTTATTTACCGGCTAAGGGTCGGTCCGTATGGTGAAAAACTGTCAACCTCGGTCTTGAAATCAAGGCAGTTCGGAAAGCCGTAAAACACTAGAACAAAAATTTATATTCCAAATCGGCACCCTTAATCCCCACGGAATCAACGCGCGCTTTTCATTCAACTAATTTATTCCTGTTTTCTCGTCACCATATTCCCACCTTTCTACATATAAATCCACACACAACCCACAATTCCTCTAATCGCTCTGACGAAGGGCTAACGCTCGAAACGTCAGCTTTTTTACCCTTTACGGTGGCTAATTTACGTTTTCAACCCAGTTGTTAACACTAAATTACTTGAAAATGCTGTATTTCAAGACCTCGGTCACAGTTTTTCACCATACAGACCTCCCAGCCGGCAAATAACATATATTTCTTCAAAGGATATGATAGATATGTTCAGGGTAAAACGCACGTGTGAGAATGTTTGACGACGTAGCTTTTACGTTCAAATCAATAGCAATGTCGAAAGGCAGAGATGAGATCCTGAGCAAACATTGAACTAAACCCGACAAAACCAAAAATGAATCCAAAGAAACTGGATCAGACTCGTTCCAAGAAGGAAGGAACATTGGGCACAAAAAGGTAGAGGAGGAGCTAAAAAAGGCGCAAACCTCGGTTTCGAAAAAAAGAAAGTTGTAAACAGAATAAACAGAGGTCCATTACGAAAGCTCGTATATGACACACGTCCTTTATACTGCAAGGATCAGCAATGTCGATATTGTCATGCATGTTTTCATTAAATCGAATATGTTTTGTAAATAAGATATAAAATATGACCTTCGTAATGGACCATGCTCACCATGGAGTTTCTGTGTCTGTCCCACGCTCGGGACAAGACAAAAACATCTTTGTCAAAAAAAAATTTTTTCAAGCAAATAAATAATAATTTCCTTTGTTTTACGCTAGTCTCTGGCCTGAACCCTAAACTTTTAATTTATGAACTGAACGGGCAAAGCCGCGACATTTTCAAATATCCATTCAAACAGAAATTGCATGGATTCTAACTTTTGGTATTTTACATTTTTTCGTGGAATAGAGTTTGCGAAGGCAAAGAAGAAACGACCAGGAGAGGACCAATTTGTAACTTGATGATTTAGTTACGGCACCAAACTTAACTGTTGAAGGCGCTCCGTTTACAGACCCCCGCACGAAATAGAGCTAGCTGTATTTCTACATGTGCTTCGGGGTTCATAGACTTTTTGAATGGCACCACAGGAATCAACTCCATGCAAAGAAGATACAAGATATCATTTGGTTGACATTAGAAGCAGAAAGTTTTAATACATTTTTTCTGAATTCATTTTCATTTTTTAAGTCGCAGATTACACTAAAGAGGAAACCATGGCAACAAAATGGACACCGCTAAGTTACTGTTAAATAGTTTATTTTATTTTTCTTTCTTCTAACTGTTGTTTTTATTCTCATATGGTAATGCATTTTTAAGTAATTTCTTCAAATCATGTATTCAAAATGTATGCCACAAAGCAATAGTTAAACCGAAGATCCGGTTTAACCGGTGCTAAAAGTTTCTAAAGCTCTAAGTTTGAACTATATACCTTCTAAATGCAAGTTAGCTCACAAGGCTTCAAATTCCCGAATAAAGGAACTTATCTCGTTTTGAGAAGTAAAAGTTGGTACCTGGCTTTGACCGGAGCCTGTATTTTTATGGACAAAATTAAGAAATATCCACAATTCGGCTCGATTGTTCAACCGGGGACTTTCACGTGAAAGACATGCCTTTTTGTAGGTCTCAGTGTAAAAAGCTTAGCCAAAAATAAATCCTTGAATATTGTTGTGGATAAAATACAACAGCGCAGGACTCAAACTAAGATGCAATTTCATCGACCCTCTGACCAACATAGAAGCAACTGAAGAGCCGTTTAAGACCTCGTCGGTAATTTCCACAGAAAACGAAACAGATGAATGGGTTTATGGCGCAATATGAGTTGGCCAGAATGAAAGCAAAACCTGTGAAATATTGGATGCCACAAGATGCTTTTATGTCTAACGGATAGAGGACGACGATACTATATGGCAGCCAGCACACCGCGAACCCTAACATGATAGCAATGGACATCTTCAAAACATTTTGCTCTCTTTGTAAACGTTGTCCCCTCGCGTTGGCTGATTGCTCGATTAGAATCTTCTGGGATTTTATTTTAAAAGCAATAACTAGGTAAATTATGCAGATCAATATCAATGGGGCATCCAGGAATAGCACATCCATAGCCATAACGAGGTTTCTATAGGACGAGGGCACTTCAAAAGAGTTGTTTCTTTGTTCCGCACACATTGGCCTATCTGGATGACTGACAAGTTTCCAAGAGGGGCCAAGGAAAGTAACGGCCAAGATCCAAGTGGCGGGAATGACGAACTGGCACTTCTTGGAACTGATGAGTGGGGCACATTGGGGAAATACCACAGCCCCAAATCTATCCACGGCGATCAGCACCAGGCTTTGGACTGATACAGCAACGGAGATCTTTACTGAAAAGAAGACCAACGAGCACAGGGATTGGCCAAGAGGACCGCTTGTCAGCCAGGGACCGTTGTATAAAACAATCAACTCCTCAGGAATAAGGAAAATCGGAAAGAGCAGATCAGACATAGCCACGTTTACGATTAAAAAGTTAATGGGTTTTCTCAGGGATTTCGTCTTGTAGACAACTATTGCGATAAAACTATTTCCAACCAACGAAACAACAAGTTGCAAACAGAATACCACCGTGATTCCAACCCTTCCAGCTTCTTGACTAAAGCACGTCGTCTCATTCATAGTTGCAGTAACTATTGCCGACCTTCTCAGAACTGTGAGATAGATTTTCTCTTCAGCCAGTAGGTATCTGGAGATCTACCAATACTCTATTTAAAGAAAGCACATGTAATTATACTCATCTATCATACGTATATACGCATCTCCAACTACTGATCTTCCTATAACCATATTAATGTCATTTTTTATTAATATATCAAACAGATTCCTTGTTTCCACGCGTTTGTTTAGAAATAAATAAAAAATAACGTCAACATGTGGCATTAAACTAAATGGAGAGTTAGAAAAGTTCCCTCTTTTTTTAACCTTATTTTCCATTTTTTCAGGTTTCACACTGAACCGACAAATATGGTATTTAAACTGACACGAGTTTTGATTACTGAGGTTAAATCGGCTTAATTAATCTATTCTTCTTTCGATTTTATCATATTTTTATTCTTTTTGTAATACGTCTTGATCGAAAGACTCTCATTATCGAGTAATGTTTTCAAAGTATTTACTCTGATCCTGCTTTATTTTATTTTTTTCTGCTGAAAACGTTCCGGCCTAAAGCCGTTAATGTAATTGAATTTGTGCCTCTATGCCTTGTCCGCAATTTTGGTCTGTATGCAAATTGTAGCCTACAACTTCTCTACAACTGAAAACAAGTGTAAACTTATGAAATGTTCATAATGAATTGACTGCAAAACATTTACTTGCTTGAGTATCAAGCAGTTGTCCAATGTTCGTAGTGGTATGAAAGATGTTTTAATCTCCTTCAGAGTAACACGATCTGAGGTAAAATCAATTTTGTAGATAATTGTGCATCGATATAAATACGGAACATATCAAGCCTAGTGTAAGGGCACATTTAAAAAGTGCTCAGTGCCGTTTCTTGAACAAGTTAAGTGAAACTTAAAAAAAAAAAAACCAATGTAAAATATATCACATTTCATTTATCGCCCAAAACTGTGTAGTGGCAAAAGAGATCTCCTACCTCGTTGCATAGCTTTCTTTGCTGGACTGTTTGGTGTTAATTAGATTGAGCAACTTGAGCAAACGGGAGACACCAAGAATCTGTTCAGGAAATGTATTTCTGTCTCTGTTCTCACGAATTCAGCTCGAAGTACACGCTCTTAAATATCCTACGATAGGCATGTTTGGGCATACGGGACAATTGACCTTGGCGGAGTAAACATATTTTTAGAATTCTAACTAAAACAATCTCACAAGACATTCAAAATTAACAACAAATTACTAAAAAACAACCAATCTTTGAGAACTAAAACGTAAACAAAACTCCCCGTTGAAGACTTATAGCAAGGTCAAGGGCAAACCCAAACACGACTAGCGATGACGATTATCGTGGGAGAATTAAGCCCTCCTACAACGGTCAGGACAAATCACTCAAAAGGTAAAGATAAGTGTGTGGTCTTGCAGCACATGACAAACCAAGGCTCACAAGACTGGCATAAAGATTTCGAGATAACCTAATTAACAGGCATAACTGAACAATCCCCAACCACTCCTAATTTTAGTTGTTTCCAAACACTCCTCGTTTTAGCTGTTCCCAAACACTCCTGATTTTGGTTGTTCCAAAACACTCCTAATTTTAGTTACTCATAACATCTTGTGACAATATCTCAGTAGTTCTGGCGGTTGACGATTGTTTTATTTTTGCGGTTTTGACGGTTAGGGGTTAAATTTTAAGGCTTTTGACGGTTCAATTTTAGGGTCTGAACGGTTGACGGTTATTAAGAAGGTATCCTATCAGTTTACATCAATTCTGAACTTTTTATTTTTTAATGGGAGTGAAATTTTATTAAGACCTATTCAATAATTCAAAATGAACAAGTTTGGTCCGAGTGCCATGTACTAAACTACTTACTCACTTTGCTCTAGGCGTACACAGGAATAATGGCCCTGGGTCATTGAAGAAGATCCCTTGACAAATAAATGGTGGCTACTTGCTAAGTAATATAGCCCAACGCGAGGGCTGATGTGAATGTAAATCTGATATTGAATGAATTTTGACAGCTGGTCTTAGAATCCTCACTTATGAGAAAAAAGTTGTTTTAAAATAGAGAAATTAAGCGTGTCGTTAACGGCAAATAATATTGCTAACAGTAACTATTGAACGTTTAGCTGTCTGTTTAAGCTGTTTACACTTGGAAATGAAAAGGAAAAAAAAAAACCCACACAAGCCATTTTTTCCCAATTTTAAAAATATTTTGGGGGATTATAGAAAACATGGGTCAAATCAGAGCCCTTTTTTCCCATCCCCATTGCCTTAAACGACTGCATGTACTCATAAATCTTCCCCTGCTGACTTGAACCTCGCGTGTTAACTTGAACCAAAACCGATTTCCCCTGGATTTCCATCAAACATTTACAGAAATTTTATCCCCGGTAACTCGAACCCTCGATAACTCGAGCCTTCCGCTAACTCGGAGTAATTTTCAGTAATTTTGTGTTCCGTTTTCATTCGACTTCTCTGTAATTGAATTGGATTAAAATGTATACTGTATAAGACGAAAAACAGTAAACATCGTTTTTCCCTCATTCCCTAGCCCTTGTTTTCAATTCCCGTTAACTCGAACTCCCGGTAACTCAGTGGAACCTTCTTCAATTCTCCTTAAAGGTTCAAGTTATCGGGAGTCGATTGCATTTATTTTTCGCATTGGGTTTCATTTCGATCAAACTTTTGCTCATTTCCTCTCTAACTGATCGGAAACTCTTTATTTACAGGTGGTAAGGGAATAAACACTGTAGAACCGGAAAACAAGCAGCAGAGTTCAAACAATGGTTTGAACCAATGAACTAAGTTTGACTTGCCATAATGTAAATTGTAAATAGGATTTAAGTAAGTTAGTTCTCAAAGCCGACATTTCGATTCATGATTATTTCCAAGTTTCGTGAAATAATTGGACCTAATCGGTCTGAGGGAAATCCGGTTTATCTCAGTGACGTAATTTTTCATTCTGCACGGTTCAGTTGAAAATAAACAGACCCCCCCCCCTCCCAAAAAAAAAACAAAAAAAAAAATCAAAAACAAAAGTGTAATAACTAGTTGCGATCGTAAAACAACTACCAACTGAAAAAATAGAAAAAACAGAAAAACCATGGAAATAGCTTCCATTTGTTAACTTATTTCATCGAGGTGCTGGTAAGAATAGCGATGATCCAAGTGAAAAGAATAAGGAACTGACACAGCTTTGAACTGATCAGTTAGGGACGGAGGGAAAAATATACAGCTCCAAATCGATTGAATGCTATTAAAACTAGGCTCTGAATAGACACACTAAAGCAGATATCTCCCAAGAAGACAGTCAGCTTTCACAACGCATCTCTAAGAGGACCGCTGATCAACCAGGAGCCGAGCGTTTGTGTTGTCTGTAAAAAAGGAAAAAAAGAAACAGAAGATCGGATATGGCCATATTTACCAAGAAAAAGTTGGTAGGCTTTCTCATGGATCTAGTTTTGTGGACAATTGTTGCAATGAAAAAACTTCCAGACACTGAGAAAACAAGTAACAGGCCGCAAAAAAAGGTTTTACCAATCCTCTTTACTACTGGATTCAAGCAGTTCAGTGTTACTGGTGTTCCATTCACCGTCGCACTAACGTTTGCCGACATTCTTGGAACTGTAGGATCAGTGTCGTCTTCAGCAAGATGCTCTCTAACTCTAGAAGCCAACTATTCTTTTATAACGAAAAAATAGAACAAAATTTATACTTAATTTGTACTTTAACTATTCGATGCAAAATTCGATCTTTTGTACTTCAACAACAATTTTTACAATTGTAACCAAAATTGGAGACAGAGAAAAATAGGTTCCCTAATTTTTAGATGCAAGGATATCTTACAGATGCTTATATCTATTTTGTTTGATTTTCAATCTGCGCTAATCCTCCTACCCTATACACCCCAAAATAATAATTGGCACCAAAACATCAATTAAAACCCGACAGATGGCCAGCTGTTATTCAGAATAGGTTAGGCATGTAATAGTTTTTGAATCAAATCGTTTCGCTCATTTTATGCTAAGTAGCTAGTTCTGCGATGTATTTGCTTTTTCGAAACAGCCTTTCATAAGTGTTTCATGTAATGCTCTCTGAATTATTTTCGTATTTCATCACAATTCTATTTTGTGAGACTTTTGTTTCATACAGCAAGGCATTCCGCGTTTTGGGATATTCCGCTATTTCACTTCTTAAGACGGGTTTTGGGATATTCCGCCATTCAACTATTCCGCCGTTCTACCGTTCACGGTTCCAGCGTTCTATCATTCCATTGAATAGGGTCACCCTGTAATTTAGCGGCTCTTTTGGGCATATGTCGCTCATTGAAACGGTAAAATGTTCTCTTTTCAAAGTTTCCATGATAAGCAGATCACACCTATTGATATATTTCTGCGCGGAAAATATGAGACTCACGAGAGTCAGACAGCTTTGCTACCCTCTACACGGTTTCCATTATGAGCCCAAGCAACTTCGACATGCGCAGTAAAATTTGCAGATGCTTTTTAGGCTCTCTCCCCGTTATGAGGCTCACAGGAGTCAGACAAGTTCTGAGCCTGCACTTTGCTTACGGTCATATATACTTTTAGTTACAGTCCTCATCATTAGGTCGCCCTCTTCTTCTCCAGGGTTTGTCCCTCTCAGAAGAACGTCAAAAGTTCGGTTTTTTAATGAGAATTTTTTTAAATTCGGTTGGCCTCCTAATGGACTCTGTCAAATTTACTCTCAATGTAAAAAAATATGACTAAAGGTTTTTAAAGTTAACTCAGCACTCGTTAGAATTCAGGAAGAGAGGCAATTTTTGATCCATTAGAGTTTTTTTCCCCCAAAACTCTAATTTTCCATAAAAAGGAATGACCGTGATGACAAATAATCTGAAGCTGAAGCAGAAGCAGAACCAGTTTCCATTGCTTTCTTGATAATATTTATTTGTAATATTAGATGTCAAGTAGATTTTACTTTTTCTTTTTCCATCACATATTGATTGGAAACCTCTCTATTTTAC